AACCAGGAACTAAACAATTGCAGCTTATTAGGTATACTAAAATAATTAGTGAATCATTATGATATTTTTATCATCCAGTATTGTTCAAATTTTCAAGCAAATATTCTATATCAGAAACCAGTCACATGTGGTATACTCTAGGTTCATAAAATAGTTAAGCTTACAAATAACACACTTTATTATTTGAAGATGACACCTAAGGGGGTGCTGAAGACAAGTATGCCACCACAAAAAAAATGTATGGGGTGCTAAATCAGTTGTTAAAAGTGTGGATATAATGCCAAGTCAGTTTTAAAGATTCATCATTCTATATTCTTTTTATCTGATACTTTAATGAAATAAATATTTTTTTTAGATTTATTATCATAATGTAAACACTTTTTCTTTCTTTATCCTTTTCAGAATTTAATGTTTCTTTTATCAATTGGTTTTTTTTTTTTTTTTAAAGTGTTTCTTGGTCAGGTGATAAATTTTTAGCCTCTCTTCAAAATAATCGTAAGAGAAAGTATTCTTCACATTTAAAAAATAGACCCAAATTATGACAGTCCATTTAGGCCCTCATCTTTCATAAGGTAGTATTTGTATTAAATACAAATTTTATTATTTACATTATTTGAAGTTATCCTCATCTACACTGCCATATTCACAACGTTTCACCTGTTGTACACTCTGACCTTATCTAGGTGATTGGAATTTTGAACCAAACCCTTTATTTCGTCCACCAGGGTAGATTGTTCCACATGCCATGCCTCTTCCTGATGTCTCAGTTATTTCCCTTCAACTCTCCAAGTTTTTTGGTTCACCACTGCTATAGCCTCGTATTGACTCTTTGGGTCTAGTCACTGGATCTAACCAATGTCTTTATCCACTGGGCCATGTGTCCTTGAGGACATCTAGGCATGAATTTCTGGGACTTATAAACCTAAATGTCTCAGTATCTGTTTTTTACCCATGCTCACATTGTAATTTTTCTGTTATTATTACCGCATATTTTTTTTACCAGAGTTTATATTGCAATTTTTGTGTTGTTATTTATTGCTTTTTTCTAGCACTCTTTATTATTGGTTCTCATATTGTATTCATTTCTATGTTTGGTCAGCTCAGGAGATTTTTGTGGCCTAGAATATGTGCTGATTCCTTAAGTTTTCGTATTTTCCAGTGATGTTCTCTGTCTATTAATTCAACCTCATCCCACAGGGGCAGTTATCTCCCTTTTCCCTCCATATGTGGTCAGCTATGCCTGATTTTTCTATTTCCTCTTGTGTTACTACTTTATGATGTTCTTGCAGTTTTACCTTAAGGGGGTGGCCTGTTTCTCCTTTATATTTCTTACCACAGCTTCACAGGATTGTGTACACACAGTCCTTAGTCATGTTCTCCTCCATGGATGGTCTTACTCAGAAGAGGTGTCTACGAAATGTTGAATCACTTTTGAAGATTGTCCTGATGTTATATGGACCACAGATCTTTTGTATTTTCTCCAATAATCCCTTCAGATAAGATAGGCAGACTGAAGCCGTTTTCTGTGTGCTCTTATCCTTTTGTACCCTTCTAAATCAGTTTGTTAGAGCTGCTGTCATGTACACAGGGTAGCTGTTATGTTGTAGGGTACTGCTTATACTGACCATTTCTTGTTCATATGTCTTTGGGTCACCACTTATAACTGTTGCTTGATGTTCTAAGCAGCAGATGATCCCTTTCTTTACACTGTATGGGTGGTGGGAGTTAAAGTTGAGGTATTGTCTGGTGAATGTAGGCTTGTGGTATATAGATGTCTTGAATTTGTGTTCTCTTCAATATATTAGTACATCCAGGAAAGTGAGTTTGTTGTTGCTTTCTCTCTCCATTGTGAACTGTATTGATGATCGTATTGAGTTCACATGGTCCAGTAGTAGCTAGACTTCTTCCTGGTGTGGCCAGAGTATGAAGGTGTCATCTGTGTATCTCAGCATAGACTTTGCTTTAGTGATGTAATTTCTAATGCCACTTCCTCAAAGTATTCCATATATAAATTTGCCATTGCTGGTGATAATGGTGAGTGGATTGCTAAGCCCTCATACTGTCGATATATGTCTGATCCCATTCCAAAGTGTGTTGTTTGCATACAGAAAGTCAGCATCTCCATCAGGTTATCTATTGGTATTCTGGTCCGTTCTCCTAGGAGACTGAGGCCAGTCTGTCCCTGACTACCGAGAGAACCTCCTCTGTGGGTTCCTTGGTGAACAAACTCACTGCATCCAGGTTCAGCATCTGGTTGGATTGGATAGGAGCATCTTTAATTATTTCTACAAAGTGGGTGGAGTTCTGGACATACAATGGTGACTTTTCTATTAATGGGTTGATTATATCTAGTAGGAAGTGATTCATAGGGTGGTACACACAGCCTTGGCAACTAACATTCGGCCTGAGCAGAATACCAGCTTTGTGAATTTTGGGTAGACCGTATATGTGAGGTAGCTTGGTGTAATGCTATGACAACTGCCTGTATGTCTTAGGTGCAAAGTGGTCCTTGTCCTTGATTAGGATCTGTGACAGTTTGTGTTTCATTTTCATTTCCTTATTTTACTGTAGCTACCATTCACAATAAGGTCTTTCAGTTTTTCTGTATATGCTGTTTAGTTCATCACTCCAGTTGCATTGCCTTTGTCATCTGGTAGGTAGTTGTTATTGTAAACCCTCCTACATTAGAATGAATTCTTCCTCCTCTCATAAATACTAACTGCGAGAGTTAGTTGGGGAGTGAAGATACAGTGTTAACCTACCGTTTGGATGTACACCTCTAATTGCTTATTACTAACACTCTTGCTTTGTATATATCTGTTATTTCAATACACTTGTTTAACCTACCTTTGTCTTACATGTCTTTCTTTCTGGCCCCTAAACAGGCTACAACATTAGTATGATGATGTTTTCATTCCTCTGTAGGTTCTGACTGAGGTTTGATTTGGGTAGCTTAGCTTTCCCCAGTGTCTGTGTCACTTTCCATCTTAGGTCATCCGCATGAGGCTGAGGGAATTTCAAGGCTATTTTCTTGATTCAAGCAATGATGTCTAAGTATGGTATCTGTTTGATGATAGTGGTGAAGTTGAGAACGTTGTTTAGTACTAAATCCTCAGAGGCACTCAGCTGATGTTGACCGATATTAATTACTGCTTTCACTGATGGGTGATGGACCTTTTGTGTCACCTTCTGATCTTTCAATCTACTTAATGTTTGTACTTGGTGGGCCTTGACTGCATTGAATTCATGTCTGAAGGATTTATCGAGGTCATGATGGATCCTCTTTTGGTCTTCTTTGTAATTCTGTTGAAGAAGGCCTCGAGCCTCTGGGAGATATCAGATTGTAGTTTCTGTTTTATCCAATGATTATACTGGATTCTCTCTCAAACAAGGGTGTGTCCCCCTTTCCCTGTGACCAGAGAAGCTCTCCTTGAATTAATGGGAAGTCTTGGTGCCAAGCCTGAAGGGACGAGTCATAAGTCTCTGCATCAGTGTAGGAATGTCAGATGGTTTGAAATTCATGCCAACTTCTGGTGTGACTTTTCTAGTTGTCTCCATAATTTTGGTATATCAGGTCTGTACCGATCCTTCAATATCTGTCTAAATTCCAATCACCTGAAGAGAATGCAATGAGACAGCTGCTTGCTATCTCAAAAAAAGAGTTCCAAAAATGTTTCCATCATTGGGAACGACGCTAGATAAAGGAGATTAAATGCTGAATTGATATGTGTTGTGGTTTTCTTTTTATGGCACTAGTCCCAATACTTTTTGATCAGACCTTGTATTTGTATATAACATAGATGACATGTTTGTATATTCTAGTGAAGTATATAAAGTTTTTTCATGCCCAGTTCATTTTTTAAATTAATTTCTATTTATTCTAGTCCTAAATTCCATTGTGTCAAGGATAATAATGCCTAAAGTGGGCCTTGGAGAAAACCAAGATATTTTTTCTCTTTCCAAACAGTCCCATTATAATTAATCAATCACACTTGAAAACAGTTTTCTTTTGCTAATCATCAAATAAAATTAAAAAGAAAGAAAGATTAGCAAATAAGACCAACCATGGAATTTGTATGTGTTGTGGAGTAAATAAGACATACTTGTTAACACAAATGAACTAGGCAAAACACCTTAAATAAAGAACAAAGTAAGTCAGGGAAGTCCATTGGAGCCAGAAAAGAATTTCTAATGATGACGTGGCGAGTAGACTATGCAAGACATAGTATTATAACCGCTAGTTATAACAGTGGCGACAAGGAATCGAAACTCATACAAAGTAGGAAAATGTACTGGGATAGGAACACCGGTTAGGGTTTCAGCTATGGGCAAATAGTGAATCCCAAACAAAAATAAACAGTGCATTTTTATAATAAAATGAATGACAATACATTTGTATAGCAAAATGACGAATCAATACAACACTAAATAGATATAAAATTTTTTAAGTAAAACCACCAACAGTACACTTTATGATCTGCAAAATGTATATCTAAACATACCTTTCCTCTGAAAGTATATAATTATGTACAAAATATCTGTAGTTGAAAGCATAAAATAAGTAGAAGTTGATATGCCACCACACAAAATCAACAAACATGAAAGAACTTTCATATATTGTATCCTACAATTTCTTAAAAATCTAACTGTATTCCAAAATATAACTTTAACAAAGCTACAACATAAAATACGCATATCACCACCTCTAGTAATCATATCCGCACAAACATGTATATGCACAAAAGCTGTGTATCATCTACTATGTATTCAATTGTGAAAGCAGGTTATTACTTCAAAGATCCCAAGAAAATTAAATTTGGCATTAAATGACCCATAAGGATTTGACACGCCATTAATCAAATCAAGTTAGTAAGTTCACACTTAGTAACCTTTTGTGTCTTAGTGGCTTTATTGTCTTGAATGGTTTGACATGATTAAAAAACAAAGTATTTAATTTATATGGAAGATGGTTATTCTTCATAACAGAGATTCTGACTTACTTTTATATCAAATGATTTCTTCTCATACTTATGTAGCTTGGCGGCCTTATCAAGCAAAAGGTGGATCACTTGATGAGCAGGTATTTCATTGGAAATATCAGAGCATAATGTCTTAGCTGCTGCCATCTTCCTTGCCCTTTTTCTTTTGGCGAGTTCCATTATCGATAACTAGATGAGAAAAAAATAAGATAGTTTGGCAGACTTAAAAACACGTTTTGAAATAATAAATCAATGACAGACGTCAATAATTGTCTATATTTCTGAGATGAGGTATTGTAACTATTACATAATTTACATTGTTTGGACAGTTGTAACATCTTTGTTGTCATATTCACAATGTTTCGGCCACTGTATGCTCCAGACTTCTTCCAGTGATTGGAATTTTGAACCAAACCCTTTATTTTGTCCACTGGGGTAGATTGTTCCAGTTCCATGTGCCATGCCTCTTCCAAATATCTCAGTTTCAGTTTCCCCAAGGTCACATGGCCCAGTGGATAAAAACATTGGTTGAAGTAATCCAATGACTTGACCACAATGAGTTGTGAGTTCAATACCAGTCCACAGCAGAGGTGTACAAAAACTTGCAGGGTTGAGTTAATAAAGGGAAATAACTGAAATTGAGATATCCGGAAGAGGCTTGGCATGTGGAACTAGAACAATCTTATATGGTGGATGAAATAAAAGGTTTTGTTCAAAAATTCCAATCACCTAAAGAAGGCTGGAGTGTACAATGGCCGGAACATCATGAATATAACAATAAAGATGAGGACAACAGTCCAAACAATTTAAATAGTATAAATAGAAGTCAGTAAAACACAGCAAACATATCTTATTATGGATTGTTGATAAGATATGTTTGCTATGTTTTATAGTGATAGAATTATCTTAAACAATAATGGTTAGAATGATGAAATACTTTTTGGTAGAATAATTTTTGATGAAAAAAAAAAAAAAGTAAGTCAGACTAACTTTACCTATCTTTTTTTTGTTTTTTACAATAATTTATTGGTTTTATTTATCACTCTACACCAAAGTTTCCCAACCTTTTATCAACCAGCACCCCCTTTGAGCATGAACTTTTTTTTGTCAATGATCCCCACCTCTGTCAAATTAAATTTTGAATATTATACTGAATTCAGCTTTCATAGCAAGATAACACTTAGGTATTAGTGCAAAATAATTTTAATTTCTATTATAAATGCCAATATCTGTCTATATTTCTGAGATGAGGTACTGTAACTATTTACACTATTGGGACCCTTGTCCTCAATGTTTTAGCCAGTCTTTAGGTAATTGGAATTTTGAACCAAACCTATTATTTCATTCACTGGTGTAGTGTATTCTACTTCCCTGTGCCATACCTCTTCTGGATATCTCAGTTTCAGTTATTTCCCTTTTAGTAACTCAACTCTCCAAGAAACTGAAACTGATATCCGGAAGAGGCATGGCACATGGAACTAGGACAATCTACCCTGGTGAATGAAATAAAGGGTTTGGTTAAAATTCAAATCACTTGAATAATGCCAGAAGATACAATGGCTGAAATGTTGTGAGTATGAAAAAAAAGGATGAGGACATCAATCTGAACAATGTAAATAGTGTAAAAAGTTATAAATGCCAATGTTTAAAATGCTAAAATAAACATTTATTTGATAGCTTTCAATGTGATGGTTGACTTTGGTGTTTACTGGTTATGGCTCTTATTTTAGGCTCATTTGATATCTTATCTCAATGCTTTTAATGCAACGGTTGACTTTGGTGTTTACTGTCTAAGGGTCTTACCCTAAGTTCCATGATGCTTAAAAGTAATCGTATATCTCTTCATTTTGTAATTTGCAGGCGGTTTCTTTGTTTAATAAGAAGCTGTGTAACTATGTTGAAACCACATTCATCCATATTGGAAGTTGGAAAAGCAACAAGGAAAAAGTTTTATAGCTTCCCACAACTTTAGATACCTTTCAGTTGTAATGTTGAATAATTTTTGAAAATTTTGAAAAAAATGGATAAATCCCCACCACCCCCGAGTATGTTCACTCTCTCCTTCCAAATGAAATAAAAACTCTCTTTCAATATAACACAAGGGGTGCTAGTGCCCACATTGGGAGACACAGACCATAGCCAATAACTGACCCCCTCCCATTTTTCTCTTTTTGATAGACTGTAGCTTGTTTAATAAAAGCAGAGCAGGATTTAAAATTTACTATAAGGATGACAAAAGCATATGAAAATTCATCATTTGACTTCCCAACAATTGTTTTATGCCCAAATTTTGTAACAATTAACAATCATTGCCATTCTTATTTCTAAGACAAGTATTATTATGAAATCTTGTTTACTTTTATACTAATTTTTATGATAGCAGCTTCTCTCTTTTTGTAGAAAAGAATGTGTCCAACTTCAAGCAGGGAAAATTTATAACAAGAAAGTGAGAAAAATTATTATTTTTACCTTCTATTTCTACTATTACTATTCTTTACTAGATAAAGTATTGTCAAAAATTATTCTTTATATTTTGACTAGTATTTACTTTTATCTTCATTTTTATTAAATGAGTAATTTTCAACCATTTTTATTAATTTTTTTTTACTATTCTTTACTTTAATCTTCATTTTTTATTAGATGAATCATTGTAAACCATTATTTTTTTTTATCTGTGCTGTAGATGGCTGGCCTAAAAAAAATTGCAATAAAAAGCAACTAAAAATTTAGATGAAAGTAAATACTAGTTGAAAGTAATAATAATGAAAGAGAATAAGTCTTTTTTTCCTCCAAATTCCTTCAGTAGCAATACATGCTTCATCATGTCACGTTTACAATTTTTACAGCCCTTTAGGGTCACCACATGTAGTGCAGCCATAGCAGCAGTGATTCATCTAGGGTAAGATAGTCTGATGGAACCTATCCCTCTTCAGACTGGCTTTAAATTCAAACTTTTCCTTCTCCTAGATTGGTTGCTACCTCAAGGCAAGTCATCCCTGTTATTTAACCAATAGTTTGTGTGCATTGGGGGGGAGATTGATTCATACTTTTCTGAAAGGTATTAGTCACAAACTGAATGTAATGATTTTTCTTTCCATCATTAACCATTACCCTCTCTTCTCATTTATTATGTAGTCAACATTCCAGGAATTCTGGACCAAAAAATTGTGAGATTTAAAGCATTTTGATATTTGTTATACGAGCTGGTATCAGAAAGTTCCCCTTGTCTCATTGTACCATTCAATAAAAATGTGTGCACAGCTAATACTCATTGGTACCCAGCCTACTGAGTTAGTCTGCCAACAGACTTCATGAATTGACTTGTGTCCATTTATTAATGTAAACTACAAGTTATGCTAAGCTTTCATATGAATATCGAATGTGGTATCAGAAAGTTCCTGGACTGTATATGACATGGTTGTATTATTCAATCAGAATTCACTTGCAGCTAATGTTTATTGGTAGCCAGCTTATTGAATCAGTTTTCCAATAGGCTTTGCTTTGAGCTATTTACTCATGTTGAGTAACTACAAGAATTTTTGAAATGCAGTGTTGGAATGGCTCTATGATCTTTACAATAACTGACAAATTTGTGCTGTGAACCTCAATAACATTTTGCCTGAAGCTTGAGAAATCTGCCAGCAAGACACTTGAAGTGATTCATAAGGTTTTTGGTGAATATTCTTTTTAGTTTGAATGCAGATTTTCCAGTGACATGTGTGTTGCAAGGGCAATCAAGTTCAAGAAAATGAGCATTCATAGTGACTAGTCAACCATGAAAAGAAATTTGCAGACACAACCACAAGGACTATTGTGCAACAATCCATCAACATGATTGGAATTGGTTATGAAGATTGCTGAAGACTCTTAAAGAAAACTTGAACTTATGTACCACCGCCAGTTCTTGACACTGGATCAAATGCAGCAGCATTTTGACAGGTGCCTTGTGTATCATGAACACGTTAATGATGACACATCTTTCATCTCTAGAATCACCATAGGTGATGTAATTTGGACTTAATTACCATGGCATAGGGTTTTCCAGCCCAAAACAGGAACTTTTTGATATCACCTGATAAAGAGATTAGTTAGAAGAACACAAGTAGCAAAAGTCAAAGTTTAAATACTCTACCTGTCCTTCTTTTATCATTGCACTCAGTATATCATTTTTGTGGATCCACATTTTGCCCTCGCTCTTCACATGTAATCCAACTTGGGTCAAAGCAAGAAATTTGAATTTCATGCTTTTCTTTCTCTTCAATAACCCCAGCATTGGTAGGGAATGCTTAAGAGAAAAGAACAAAATTAGACAAACACAAAACAAATAAATAACATTCTGATATTAATTCTAATTGATACTTACCTTGGAGTTTCAAACATAAGCTGGGACAATTATTCTTTCTTTTGAAAAAAAAAAAAAAACTCACTTGGGACATCCTTATTCCAACAACCCCTTTTATTAGATATTCAAGAAATTACTCCCTACCTCTTAATTTAGGCTATGAGCATTTTAGGACAAAATATTACATTACTAAGAATTATAATAAACTAGAAAGACCTGTGAAAATTTTATGGTTTTCCTATTTGAATTTTCTGATGAATCTCAATTCTTAAGTTAATGATTGAATAAGATCATGGCGAATTCTATGAAAATGAAGTGTCCATAGAATTTCCCCTATCACATCATTAAATATTTGGTTTAACAAAATATTGCAATAACAATCATAAATATGAATGCTGGTCATTATTTTAAGAAATGGATACAAATGAAGATTTGAAATTGAAAACTTTTTTTTCCATTTCACTGACACAGACGTGAAACACTTCTTTTCTTTCTTTCATTTCAACTCTCAAATCAAGTAGAATCTTTTCTTCTCTTTCCACATGATCAAAACGAAACATTTCATTATTTATGAGGCAGAACATAACGGTCGTGTGAACTAACAAAGGGAACAAGAAACACAATTATAACAGGATTGTAACATTAAAATAAAATGACTTTTCATGATTAACTTCGGAATTTATTCTGTAAAGTAATTTTGTCTGTTTCATTGTACTTTAAAAAATCATTTATTTCTATTAGGTTTTAAGTTATATTATTCAACATGGCGCACACTGATATTAATCTGTCGTCTGCTGGATTTGGTCTTCTAATATTTATTGCGTTTTATAAGGATTAAATCTATTCAGTATTTTAGCATTTTATACTAGAAAGACCCGTGAAAATTTTATGGTTTTTTATTTGAATTTTCTGATGAATCATGATTATTAAGTTAATGATTGAATAAGATCATGGCGAGTTCTATGAAAATGAAGTGTCCATAGAATTTCCCCTATCACATCGTTAAATATTTGAGTTTAACAACTTTAAAAAAATATTGCAATAACAATCATAAATATGAATGTTGGTCATTATTTTAAGAAGTGGGTACAAATGAAAAGATTTGAAATTGAAATCTTTTTCAATTTCACTGAAAGTCATTGAACATTTCTAGCTTCTATTCTTCCATTCATTTTCTCACTGTGACTCATTTGCATATGAAGTCATAAAGACTATGATTAGATACAGTTATTACCCATAAGTCAGTTGAGTGCATACTACTTTCCGTGAGCCAGTAACACCACATTACAATCGTGTCGCCAATATCTAATGAACCGAACAGATAATTATTACTTGATAATTATGAATACACACAATTGTGGCTTAGGATACTAGCAGCTATAAAGGATTTAAAATCATTTGGATGAGAAAACCCAAATAACAGAGCCCTTGTTGGCAACTGCTAGTCGTGAGGCCATTACAAAATTACCAGCAACTGCAACCCCCTCAATATACTTGGAAGAAATGATGTTTGATGATATAAATCAAATTATAGTGAAAAAAAAAAAAGAAAAAAACTATTGAATGTAGAAAGAGCTAAGTTCATATTTTTCAAAGAGTAAATGAACCAGTTGAATATGTTCTTCATTTAAAACAGACTGCTAAATATCGTGAATTTGAGAAACTGGATCAGAAAAGCAGTCAACTGAAGAGGATTTGATACAAATGAAATTAGTAAATGTCCTTCAAAATCAGGAGTATCGGCAAATGATTCTAATACATTTACAACTGGGAAAGTTGTCAATAGACCAGTGTGTTGAATTTGTTCAACAAGAATTAATTGGAAAATTTAATAGAACAAAAATTACTGATCTTGTAATCAAAATGGTCACATACACAATGAAGAAAAAAAAAAGTGTATAATGGAAAGAAAATATAGAAACACTTCTGCCTAGATTATTGCTAAGTTATAAGACAATATCACAAGCTGGAAGATTGAAAAGCCTGTCTGCCCTGATGGGTAGACAAATTAGAGCCCCATTGACCATGTCCTATGCTACCAAGAAAAAATTATGTTATAAAAAGAATAATGAATCTAATCTACAAGAAGAAAAATTCATAACACAAAGTGGACAGAACACTATAACAGAAAAAAATGGAAACAGGATATTAGCGCATGCAGACCAAGTTAGATTGCAACATGATAGTGATGAAGAAATGTACAGTGAGCCTGAAAGTAATGAAGGTGAAAGTGTCAAGGCAAGACAAACTAGACAGTGAAATCAAGAGTAATATAGACTCTGAAGATGGACAATCATTGGAGGAACATTCCTATGAAAAAAAGAAAAAGGTCAAAATTTCTCATATATAGACAATCTCATAGGGAGAAGGATGAAGATAGTGAAGAGACAAAACCTTCTCGGTTCAGGGAGATGAGGTGACTCATTTACATAGGAAGTCACAAAGACTGTAAATAGCTATGGAATTAGAACTCGATTCTTTGAACAATTCCAAGCCATTATCCATTACACCACCCACACATCCAAGCTTACAGGACCTGATATTTTCAAGTGATCACCCATCTAGGTATCGACCAGGCTCAATGTTGCTTAACTTCAGTCATCGTACAGAAACTGGTGTTTCAACATGATATGGCTGCAAGCCCAGAGAGATCAAAGATGTTTGGCACCAATTAATAATTGTCACAAAGAACTTAAGGAAACTTGGCATCAATTAAATTGTCATTTCGGGTTTTGATATTTTATTTTGCAGGATTCAGAATTTTAGAATGTTATAATGCAAGATAATTTATTGTAAACTATTTACTCTTTAGTTTCAAATAGATGGTGTGTGCTTAAAATAAATGCTGCAATTTTTTAACAACCCTATTATAATTCTGCTTGTCACTCCCTTTGTTAGTTTGCAGTTGGGTTTGTTATATTCGCTTACATGCAAAATACCCTTGGAAAAGAAATGAATCCTCTTATTTTCTTAATAGTAAGTATTAAGAATTCAAACAAATAACTTTAAAAAGAATTACTAGATTGCAATACAATGTATAATCTCATATATGACATTAAATGTGGGACAATTTTGTCCAAAATGAAGAAAAGACTTGAAACAACTGAACTATAGTCCTACAAATGAATGCAGGAACAGATAAAACAAGGAATAAGGAAGTTTAAGACAAATAGGAACTACAAAGAAACTGCTGCTAACAATCAGAAGCAGACAGCTGAAGCATTTTAGATGTATAAGAACAGAAGGCGTGGAGAATCTAACACTCACAGGTCACAATGAAGGCAAAAGAAGCAAGGAAAGTTATGGTCTCAGTTTTTCGGTACACAAAAGGATTTGTTTATTGACTATCTTTATTTTACCATCAACTGAGAGTACTATACCAACTTGCTGAGACAGTTACAAAAGGTTATCAAGACCAAACTACTAGGAAAACTGATGAAAAAGTTCTTGTTTCATCAGGACAATGTTCCAGCACAAGTACTTGGTCCTGTGGCTTTTGAACATGTTTATTACCCTCCCTATTCTCCTGATTTGACTATCACCTGTTCCCCAACATGGATAAACACTTGACTGAGAACCATTATCATAGTGATGATGACATCATAAGTGCTGTTGATGACTTTTTTGACCAAACGGATGAACAGTCAAATGTTAATTTACCTGGAAATAAATGATACAGCTATTAATAAGAAGTGTTGAAAATAATGCATGGAAGATTGCACAGCTCTAGCATCACTCCTTTGTAGTCAGCCCACCCTTGTATATATATATATATATATATATATATATATATGTGTGTGTGTATATAATATATATATATTTGTAATAAAATATTTTAATTCTTTAAGTCATTATGGCTTACTGTCAACATTATTTAGTTTCCCTTTTGACTTTTTCCTACTCACAAGTTGACTTTCATTTTACTCTAACAAATCATATCCTATGACTCTTAGGACTATTTTTCTTAGTGGTAAACTGGCCAGAGTGTCAGATTGCCTAATGATAAGTGGGTCCCGGATAGAGTGGGCACACAACAACAAATAAAAAATGCAATAATGAAACAAACACAGACATCTGTTTTAATAATAAAACAGAATAAGAACTTTATAAAGTCATTTGCATATTATCAATTCTTCAAGTCCAATGTAAGAGGACATTTTCAAATCTAAAGGATCATAAAAAACAAGAAACTGTTAGATGAATTGGATGCAGAAGCAATTATTGACAGATTCGAACAATCATCTAGTGCAGGTGTGTCAAACTGGCAGCCCACGGGCTGCATGCAACCTTTTACATGCATCTTGGCAGCCCTTACAAAGGTTTCTATAGGCATGGTATCTTGAGAATTTTGTCTATGTTGATAATGCAAATTATTAAAAACAGTGAGATTTTTTTTAATTGGTATGATTAGACTGTTTATTCTATCTCAATGTTTTTTGGTTTTCAAATGTCAGCGACTATTTTTAACTTCCGGTTAATCATGTGATCATCCTTAACAGCTGAATAAGAACAAATGTAAAGTGAAAACGTTTGTAATTTTGTAATATTTGCCTTAACAAAGTTGAATTCTACTCCATCTCATAAAAAGAGAAAATTATCTGAAGAAAGACACGTATTTCAAGAAAAGTGGGAATTACTTTTGTGCCACTGTTAATGGAAAGATAAACTGTTTGATTTGCAACCACTTTATTGTTATGCCAAAAGAATATAATGTGAAAAGACATTATGAAACGAACCATCGGTCTTATGATAAATATGAAGGAGATATGTGTGTTTCAAAAGTGAAGAAATTCAAAGTTATCACAGCAACAGAGGTGCTTTACAAAAATTCAGAAAGGTAA